TAGTTAATGATGCTGTCTTGCTGCATTTCCCAATTTTCCGATTACGATACTGTTTTAGCAATATCGTTCGAACGTAAAACACGATGATGAAATTTCAATAACACAGAATTTGTACGCGGAATTCAACGCGCGGTATTTTACGCGATCTAATATATTGCATTTTGTGCGAAGGCGGAGAGGGAGAAAATTTCCAATAAAATAAAAAGTTGGCGTTTCTCAAGTAATACGAGAATCATGGCGCGTTGAGAAGAAATTTCTTGCTTTTCGTGTGCGAATGAGATATCATAAATAAAAATCTTCGTTCCGAGAAATTTTATTTCCTCCAAAGTAGCTCGTTCGAAGTTCGGTGATTTCGCTCGTTTCGCGCGCATGGGTATTCGCGATAGCTTTCTCTCTCTCTATACCCAGTACACAAGTTCCACGTATAGACAGGAGTCGACCAGGACCCAGAAAAGGGAGAGAGGGACTGATAGATACGGCCGCCCTAGCTAGGGAGGGCAAAGATTTATGATGCCGGTGCGTCAGCTCGCACGTCTCAATTTCGGGACGCGAGAGAGTCAACGAGAAAGAGAGAGAACCGAGTTTGGTTTTCTCTCTCTCCCGCCCTTTGTTGCCTGTCGTGCGGAGGACGCGCGATAAGGAAAAAGTACGGCTACCGAGAGAACAGGAAAAAAAAAAGTAGAAGAGAGTAGACGAGATAGCGACGGACTTTGCGCGAGTACAGGAGCGAGACGCGGAATTAATCCGGCCGGTCCGACGCGACGTCTCCCTCGTATACGCGTTTCCGTTTCCGTCTCCGGCCGTACTCTCCGCCGGAAAATAGTTTCCACCTCGGACACCGGCAGCGTCCGACAATGGAGTAATTATTGCAATTAGCGAGCTACCTACCTACTCCTTTTTCGTACGCGGTTCTGAAAGGACCGAGACTGAAGAGGGAGGTCGATATTTTCGCGCTTTGAAAATCGCGATTCCGCAAGGAATTCGAATCCCTATCGTAAAGTGGACCTTAATGATGTTCGTATATAGCTAGATTATTTGCTTCGCGTATATATAGACACACCATCAGAGACTGCATTTATTGCTCGTAAATCCATATTGTTCGATATATAGTTTCGCGATAGTTGCAAGTTTTAGTTTTAAAACGGAAATTTTTATCATTTCGCCCGTTGTAAAACGATCATCGTTTGCATAAAAAACTAGTGTGACCTCTGTGCGTTAAATAATTTTCGGAATATATCTTCTTACGTATCATAGAAGAAAATATTAGCCATCACATATCTATTTTTATAGCTAATATTTTTTAACTATAGTTTAACGAAGAATCTCTGTTCAACTACAGTCAAAAATATTAGTTAGTTATTGCGAAAATTTAGCTATGATGGCTAATATTTTTTTCCGTGTACATTCATTATTTAAATGTTGTTAAATATCTCGTGAAAAAAGTATATATAGATTTTGACGCTATTGACGAAAAATCATCTATTTTTATAATAAAAATACGCAAAATTTTTCATTTCGACGTTTTTTATCCACGCATTAATTCATTGCCATCAAATATCCGCTTAATACGCGTAAATTACCGATCGTTGAAAAATCCAGGCGTTTTATAATAAAATAAGAGAATTAGATACATGTATATACCATATGTAAAACAGAATAAATATACGAATAGAAATTTTTACTTGATTTTTTATCGTCGCAAAACGCTCTCTCACATTTAATCGACACGTATGTGGGATTATCACGACACGAATATATAGCGCAATTATCGTAACAACTATCGAGCCGTGAAGACTTGATGAAAGCTGCAATGAAGCAATCGAGCATCTATCTTAATGACAGGAAGAGAGTCTCGCGCACAAAGCCACGTCGATTTCACCAAGTCGACATCGTTTGCGTCGCAAACGATCTCCTCTCTCTCTCTCTCTCTCTCGGGTATTGTATTAGTCGATCAACGACGATCGCGAGATACATCTCTATGTCGCGATCTTCGGCACGGATGGAATGTTGATGGGCGAGATAAGAGAGAAGGAGCGTCTCGTATTCCATTCAAAGTGCGCGATGACATTTGCTCGGCACCCGATCAGTCGGAATGACGCGAGAGACCTTAATCCAAACCGTCACATACTACATCGCCGGAAACGAGATTTAGAACTCACCGAGTGATTTCTTCGAGGCAATTTTTTTATTGCATTCCGCGCGCGAGGCTGCGATTCTTCGCGCCTTTTTTGTGTTTTTGCATTTTGCCCTTTTGCTAACTTTAGTCATGAATATAAAGTCGGGAGAGAGAAAAGCATGCAGAATTACATACGTTACTTAATTATTCAAATTATTCCAAAATTACTCAAACAATTGTTATATATATAAATATATGAAAATGTAATTTTTTAAGTCATGCAGTAGCTCTTATCTTACCAAAATAATTATGAATATTTATAATCTGAACTTTGTGATATTGTTATAAATTATAACATCTGCATTCTCGCACACGTGAAAATGCTTAATAATAATTAAATATGCGAATTAATATGCTAAATAAAGTGCTAATTCAAGGACAATCGTGTTTTTATGGGATAATTTACAGCGATTCCAAAAATATGTTTTGTGGAAACACATCTGGATTTTGTCGTTTTAATAAACTTATACAGGGTGTTATAAAAGTACCGGAACAGCAGAATAACTCGAAAAATATGAGAATCCTAGAAAAAATGCTAAGTACAGAGTTTTTATGATTTTTTCTTGGCATCAGAGAGGTTCAGATAGCCAGGAAAAAATCATAAAAACCCAGTACTTAGCATTTTTTCTAGAACTCATATTTTTCGAGTTATTCTGCTGTTCCGGTACTTTTATAATACCCTGTATATGCTCTAGAACGAATTCCTTTGTGTGACGTATACTCCATATGTTTAAGAATTGAGCTGTAAAGGAAGTCGTAAAAAATTTCTGCGAAATAATAAGTTTTCTTGCGGAAATTCTAAAAAGCAGAGGTCTAAAAAGTATCGAGTTCTCAGTTCATTTTCCTATTTTAGGAAAAAGGTCTTTATTTAGGTATTTAGGTATTAGAAATTTTACAATAACGTTGTAAAAATTGTAAGGATAAATCGAAGAATTAAATTTTATATTTGTATGAAACAAATTAACATTTGAATATGAAATTTGTTACATTATCTCTTCTTGATTTCTAAAAGAAATATGATAGTTTTAAAGTTATGAACAAATATAATATGTTCTGAATCAAGTCGGAATATGAAAAAAAATATGTAGCTAATAAATTACTGCAAATATGACAGTTAGTTGTAAAAAAAAATAAGGTGACCTAATATCATCACGTGTACATTTACATTTTTATTAAAACGGTAGAGTCGGAATTCCATTTTGTCAATTCGACGACATCACGTTTGATATCGTTTGTGCATAAAGCATGTTGCGTTACTTTACGTCGTACATCTGTTTGAAACTCTATTCTATCAAGTGATTTTCTGCAAATTTTATGGTTGGAAAAAAATTCGCTCTAGTGCATTTAAGTTTACTAAAACGACAAAATCCAGATGTTTCGACAATATTGGAGTCGCTATAAATTATCCAATAAAAGCACAACTGTCCTTGAATTAGCACTTTATTGGCATATCAATTTGCATATTTCACCAAGCGTTTTCACGTGTATGGAAATGTTGTAATTTGCAACAATATTACGAAGTTCTCAGATTATAAATATTCATAATTATTTTGCTAAGATGGGAGCTACTGATTTTAAAAAATTGTATATTTTTATCATGTATTCATGTATATATAATAAAATTAATTATTTTGTAGTATAGTGTTCTAATAATTTTCGAAAAATTCAAATAATTAAGTAACATAAATTCAAAAATATATATGTTTCCTTTTCATAATATATACCTATGTATATTATGCATGCTGGCAATGATTCGATGAATATTGATATTTGTAATTATTTTCGAAATAATTTATGTAGATTGAAAATATTAAAGTTATACTTGCGCGTATTATAACTCCTAGTGATTTCTTAATTATATGTAATGCTAAATAATTTATAGCACGACAACATATTTATTTTTTTTCAAAGTGATAAATATAAGGCCAACTTATCGAGCTGAATATTCGAGATGTTCAGTCAACTACCATTTATTACATGTATAAATTATAAAACTACAGTCATTATATTAAAACTAACGCAAATTACAATCATTCTATAAACGTTTCGACCGCACGCGGTCTTCTTCAGTATAATTATTGAAATATAAATTCTTACAATTCACATAATATCGAAATTTAATTATAGTTATTCAGAATCAAGAGTTTTGAGCAATTAACGCGTGTTTCAATCCGTCCTGTCCAACAATGTTCGCCTCGATATGATCCCTGATTTTGTTCAGATCTCGGATAGTTTCATCGTTAATATGCGAGAAATTAACCCGTTCCGTAGGCGCTGCGATTAATAAAAAATTACCGATCAACGTATGTCCAAATTATAATATGTATCCCCTACAATTGGTAGTATGCTTACCTATCATCGTTCTTCTTGACAATTTTGCTACTTATTAACAGTTATTAAGGATGACACATAACAAACCAACAATACAGAAAGACAGCTCATTTTAAACTCTACTTGATCGGAGAGCTATTAATTTATTTTTATTTTTTTTTCTCTATAAACATTCCGTAATTATTTTCACGAAGAGATAATCAGAGTATTTAATATGCGTGCAATATTGTCAAATCAGAGCATTTATTATGGGTAGAATATCATCAAATATCAGAGTATATTTAATATGTGTAGAATATTGTCAAAAACAGAGTATTTTATATACGTACAATATTGTAAAATATCAGAGCATTTGATATGCGTATATACGATAATCAAAAACATGACATTTCGGAGTACCTGGCTGCACGGTGTTATTCTTAAAATGCTAACGAGGACAATAGGTAAGCAATTAAGCAGATAAGCAGAGAATTTTGAAGGCAAGATGACTTACCTGCAGGACAGTTGCATCTTGCCTCGGAGACGTCGCGTTTGGGCCTGAAGACCTCTGCCGGGGCGAATCGTTGCGTCTGATCCTGCCGCAGCTGCTCCTGCACCTCCGATTTGAGTCTCTGCACTAAGACTTCCACCGGCGACGATGACTCGTCGACGCGATGGCAGCGTGCCTCCAGGCTGGCGATCCTGGCCTCCAGGCTGAGCTCGCGATAGAAGAGCATGCCGGACACGGTGAGGCTGGCCAGCAGAGGGCACACATCGCCCAATTGAGGCTCGCGGATCCCACGCGATCCTCATCGCGGAACTTTCGCGGCATCGACGCCTCCAGGCAGGACGACGAGCCCTTGCCTGGGACCGACGACCAGGACTCGGTCGGCGAGTCGGTCTTCATCGTCGTCGTCGTCGTGTTGTCGCGCGCACTCGCACGCACGCACGCACGCACGCACTCGCGAATCTCTCCGGTACGCGCTTGAGGAGCGTCCTTAAGCGGCGCGGCGCGTCATAACCCGCGCGACGATAACGATAACAACAATGTATACCTGACCGTTACAGATGTCGCGACATCATCGTCCATCTGGAATGCATCTTCGCGCGACCATTCGCCCCGTTATCGCGCCTCGTATATATGTATATTCGCCCGTCCACCTGCTTTTCCGTTTGCAGCCCGCGCGCGTGTATACACGTCACAAATTCGCGGCGATTCTACCCTCTCGATGCTTCCGATTTCGCAACACGACGCACGGTTCGAGCTGAAACTGTCGCGCGTTTAAGCGGCAACGTTCAGTACGTTAGATCCGTTGCCAAATTCTCGCGGTTCCGTTGACTCGCGCACTTTGACACACATCGACGACCGGTGACGACGGGCGTCGATCGTCGTCCGCTCCTCTCCTTCGTCCCTTAATTTACTGTGTCGCTTGTCCCTTTCTTCCCTCGCGGAAGCGGTACGAGATCAGACGGAAGAAAACGCACCGCCGTTCGTCGACGGCGCCAAACTTCTCGGCGATCGCGCTGGCCGCTTCTCCGAAGAAAGCTTCTTTCGACAAACTTCACGGCAAAGAAAGCGAGAGAAAGAGAACGAGACGCCGACGACGTCGAAACGTAAGTACGTTTTCGTAAATTTCTCGGCCCTCGTTTTTACACGTCGTCGTTACGAGGGAGAAACGCACGAGAGGACAACGCACATACGTAACGCACGATGTGACATTCGCGGTACGACTGGATGTGGTGGGGCGACACTACGCCGCGAGGACAGAGGGTTCGTCGCTTCGGCCGCGCTCGGCTACGCTCGGCTACGCTCGGCGCTTCTCGACTCTCTCGCCGCGCCGCGCGAGACTATACTACTATACTCCACCGGCACGTCGGATGGTGCGCGCGTGTAGGACGCGATCGGTCGACCTAACGGCCACTTCCATTCGCACTGATTCACCTCCCCGCGTTTCATTCTCTTGGCTCCTCACGCTCGCCACCTCTGTCCACCACCGTCCACCACCGTCCACCACTATCCGCCGCCACCCTCTTCCACGGAAACGGGATTCGGCAGCGAGAGAGACAAGGTATAGATCTCGTTTTGTGTTTTCCCTTTTTTTTTTTTTTTCATCTCCCTCTCCTTTTCGCCCCGCGTTCGATGTCCATTATCCACTCGGATTACAAGCCAGAGTATTCCGCTTTCGTACGCGCGTAAACGGCTTTAACATCGGGGAGATTGTTTTTCGTCCCCGGCTGCGAATGCTGATGCGTTCGCCTATATTTCATCGATGAATGTCTCGGGTGTCTTTTATTGTCCGCATATTATCGTCCATACGATATCCTCGTAAAATTCTTCCCTTTCTCTCTCTCTCTCTTTCTCTCATATCGAGTTTTCATATATTGCGAGAAAGAATAGGAGTCAACTTTTCAGTTCGGTTTTTTCAGCGCCAATTTTGCACCAAACAGAGCGGCCAATAGAAAAAAGTATTCGTGATTTCGTAGGCATGAATTTTTGGTTTTGGCAAACCTGCTAACTTTAATAATCGTTGCTTCACTTAACCGCGCTTGGTGAAATTGGTCCTCGAAGATTGTAGGTCAATGATAATTTCTTTATGTATTTTATTACGCGAAAGATCTAATAATGAACAATAACAAGAGAGCTCTTGTTTACTTTTGAAAAGTTTTTCAAATACGTGCTTTCTTGATCTTGTGCGTCCGATTTACTATGAGAGAAAACAAGAAAATTAGTACATGCAGACCTCTTTATATTTACGTGCGTAATTCTAGTTGAAAATATTTTTTTCAGAACAAATTTTGTTATTCTTTCGTATATACTCGTTAAAAACGTTACCATTTTGTTTTAATGAACGCTTTGTCACGAAAAAAATTTCAATGCAAAGGTAAAAATTAAATGTTAATATTTGCAAGGAATTTTGTTTTTTACTGTTTGCCCAGAAATCAGAAAGTCAACAAGAAATACTGCGTATTCACAAACGTAATGAGAAAGAGAGAGGAGGGGGAGAGGGAGATCAATTTTGCTAGATTAAAAATATTTTAATGTATCTTATATATGCCTTTAAATGGCTTACTGCATCACAGTCTGAATCGAAATTTTTCTTCTACTTTTGATCTCAATTTTCTAATATTTACTTTGACATTTTATGCAATCATCTTTTTTAAAAATTATTTAATCTATAATTTTATTTAAAATTTCTCTTTTAAATCTCTAAATAAGAAATTGTTCATTTAACTGTCTATTCAGAGCACAAAAAGTTTAAAAACTTAAATCTTATATATTTTAATAATTTATTAATTACATTTAAAACTTATATTCAATAATTTAATTTTATATAATTCCTATATAAATGTTTAATAAATTCTATCAAAATCTTTCCGATTCGATAAACAAAAAAATTGAAATTAAAAGAAGCAAAATTTCGAGTCGGAAAATTCAATATTCTGAAGCACTGAAATTACAAAGATATCAAGAAATTTAATAGCGTTATTATGAGTTATTATGAGTTAATATGATTATTTAATTTATTGGAGCGAGAGCATATATTAAAATCAATATCCCATCATCATTTAAAATTATTAAATAAAAAGTCAATAAATATAACAGTTTTCCATATTTATCATTCAGAATACAAAAGCTCTGTATCTAATAACTATGTTGAACAATTAGGTACAAATATTGTCAGTTTGTTACTCCCTTTTATCATCGGTCTTATCTCAATATGGAACGACGTGATGAATTAGAAATGTGTACCACCGCTTATAGTCTCTGTATAGTTTCAACTTCGATCGTACAAGTTCTAAATAAGGAACAGGGTCTCGACCGTTGGTCTACCTCGCTAGTTATATCGAAAGAAAAAGAAGAGAGAGAAAGAAAAAGAGAGGGGGGGGGAATAATATAGCGTTTATTTTTTTTTATGTATATATATTAATATATAATAGATATAAAATATATATAATATTGTATGTATTATTATACATATAATGTAATATAGAAATTATAAATTATATATATACATATGCAGGTTCTTCTAAATCTAAATTATAAATCTAATGGGACGAGCTACCCCTATTAAGATTACATCTTGAATAAAAGAAATTAGAGAGAGATTCGCGTCTATATTATATAATTAAATCTGTTTAATTTTTGTAAGTAATACATTAAAATTTTTATTCGGTGATCTTATATCTTTAGTTTCACTATATTTATTTTTTTGTTATACGTCTCGAAACAACGTCCGACAAAGGACGAATTTATTAAGTGATTACTCTCACGAAGCTATCTTCGTGAGAGTAATCAACGTTTTGAAACTGATGTTTATTTTGACAATCCTTGAGTGTCGGAGGAGGGTCGTGAATGTTTTGTATATAAAATTAACTTAAAATCTCTTTCTTTCTTTCTATTTCAGTTTTATAATATAAAAATATATTTATCTTGTGTTTATATAACATCTGAAAAATTTTTTTAATTTTCTGACATTTCTAATATTGCTGTTTGCGTTTAACTTACAATTTGAGAAATTAAACTTTTGTCATACTGAGGAAAAAGTTGTTAACTTGACTAAATGCATTAAATTTTATTACTACTTAATTACTACTGTTAATTGAATATATGTATGCATGCATAAGTATTGAAGTCAAATATGTTAGATTTAATTAATTATATGTTATATTTAATTTAAACTCTTCTATATGTTCAATTAATAAAATAGTAATTAATTGAACAATTTAATCAAATTAACAACTTTCTTCTCAGTGCAATTATATAATTAAATTTTAGAAAGTTAAAATATTCGAAATATGTTGATTTTCAACCAAATTTCTTGCTTCTCATAGATCCAATAATAAAAGACTATCTTCTCTTTTTTTGGGGTGGGAATAACACGGATAAAAAAATTTCTTTATTCTATTTTTGTGATGGTACGCTTTTCTATTCGATTTTAAGCGTATCTATTGCTTTCGGACGATTGGTTCGTCATGCTTTGCGACAAGGTAATATCCCTTCCTGACTCTCGTCCCTTAGGAACTATTAATTAAAGATGGTCCCAGAGCGAGATGCCTTCAACCAGAATCGTGTGAATTCATGTCCAATACTCTTCACATTCGAATCTATCGTTCTCGTGTAAATTTCTCGTGCATACATAGATTTCATTCGTTGAATTCATGAATACGAGGGCTCTCTCTCTCTCTCTTTCTCTCGTACTAAGTCCTTGAGTATCTATCTGAGACTTTAAGCGATCATTTAATTCAAGCGTATATAAATCTATGGTATAGTGAAACTATTATTTCATGCGCGTACGAGCGTGCACGATAGCCTTACACACGCAAAGTCCTTGACAGATATATAATATTTTATATTTAAAGGGATAAAAGAGGCTTATACTTGCACTTTATATTATATATATATTATCACTTGTTCAGAGATAATATGTAGAACATGTGTTGGAACGTTCTATAACTTCGCCTACTTCGCAGTTTAATAACGTTATTGCTCTATTACACGGTTTATCAATCTGCTTCAATCTGAAACGTACTCACAGTATCCAATAACAGCATAGTATTAACAAATATCGTGGAATCTTGGACAGTTATCCAAGATTATTTTCGAAGGATGTTTGTTCTGAAGTTACGCCAACGCTATCCGGCTAGCGGCAATTACCAAACACTCTATATTAGGGAACATTGATCGGCGGAATCGATCGTGTCCCCGGTGTTGTGTGCACGCGCGGCGGATACGTACAACGAGAGCGACCCCTCGGCCTACCCAATCGGCTGGCTAGGCAGAGGAAGTGATTATAGACTACATCCTGGAGCGCGCTCGCCCCGTGCACGCTCGCTAAATCGAATCGAATGCCGACCGGACGGCGTGTGCGAGGAAATCGTCGCGGAGGCGAATCGATATATATACGAAACGATATTTGGACGAATGTATCTGCGCCGTGGTAATCATTATCGATGAACGTCAGGCAATGTGTCGTGCGACGAGCGATCGTTGTACGTGCGGAATATATATTTCGCGCGATTATTCGCGCTTTCGTTTATTAATTAAATGCACCGCCTAAATGTGTGCTTAAATTCAAAGTAAAATTACATACCACGCAGCGATACGATATTTCAAGGGAAAGTAATAAAGAATATGACAGAGTTGGACATCATTTTTTTTAAAAAGAATACACTTTTTTTAAAATGAAAATATTAAAAATAACAGACTAAGGAATTTTATATAGAAGGAATGAAATAATAGATATATGGATATTATATCCCCAGGTAGAAATTTTGTCTGGAAATAATCAGGGCTCCATATATTCTTTTAAAAATATTTCTGGAATCCAGATAAAAAATCTAACTAGAACCTGTGCAAAGTTTGGGACACTTAAATCTACAGGCCTTATCGCAGAATCCGGGTGGGCTCAAGATTACGCCCAGAATTTGTAGAAAATTATTTGGAGTCTAACTACTAGGATCTATAACTTTGTGAAATATTTGCTTGATTTGTATTATAATTATTTCTATAAGCTAGATTATTTAATCCTGGTCCCATATATAGTTTCATATTTATTCTAATTTGAAAAAAATATGTTAGTGGCAATCTGGAACTCATGCAGATTTTTCCGATTATTTTTTTCCTCGGTAAAATAAAGATAAATTTCTAGGGTGTATTCTGGACTTGGACAGATATTTCAAACTGCATTTTTTTACCTAGGCTCTGTATTTAATCTCGGCAAATCGAGGCAGATTTCTACCTGGGATCGCGGAGAGAATTTTCTCTTAAAATTTATCCTGAAAATTATGGTAATCGTGGGGCAATATGATATTTTTTGGAACAATTTTATAAAACCACATTTTATAAATATTAATTAGAGAAACTCCTTAAAAATTTTTCCAACACTATATTGTCCCATGATTTTCAGGATA